TTTTGGTTTTTTTCTTCTCATAATTTGTGCTTAATTTCCTGAACTGCTTCACTGCAGTAGAAAGAGAGAAAGGTCTTGTCTGTTTGAAGGTGAGCAGGCAGGTACTGGAGGGCAGATGCTGCAGTTTGAGAACTGACACTTGTGGCTACAAGGGATAACAAAGGTTGGCGTGTGGTTAAGGAAATTTTAAAAATGTATAAAAGACAGTAGACTGGCTACAGGAAATGCAGGTGTTTTGTAGAAGACAGAGGCAGCTGCAATGACCAGGAGGTAAGAAGTCAAGTCAGAATTTCTATTGATTTCTACTACGAGCAAGCAGGTGCAAAGCCTTGCTTTTTGGCTTCCAAAATGAAGCAAAGCAGCACTTTTCTATCTTGTAACTCGTAGCAAAGTTAAATGTACTAAAGATTATGAAATGCTCAAGTACAACTGAATCTCATATAAAGAAATAGAGAATAATACAGAGGAAAAAAAAAGACCATAGAAAATAAGAGGAAATAGTTTAAATAATCTTATTTTTTGGTTTGAAACAGACAACCAGTTTTTCTCTTCTTCTCTGTCTCTTTAGAAAACATATTTTTTTCTGGTAAAATGGCTTTTCACAAGAGTTTTTCTATCTTCCAGCTCTTCATTGCATTACTGACATCATCTTCTGATTCAGAGAATTTTATGCAACCTTTTATTTGGAGTTAACATCACAGTTAACTGTGCAGCAAACATACATGATCACCTGTCAAGACATTAATCAAGGGGAACAAATTTAGGTCTGAAAATATTTGCTCACATTTAAATGTCCACACATATTCTGCTGATGAATCCACTGTCTTGTTTGGGTCTTCTTGCAATTTCACAAAACTTGAGAAAATCGAATCTAGGTCTTTGAGGAATGAGAAGACAAGGTTAAAGCACTCACTATCCACTGCATATTGTGTGAAAAAAAGGAAAGAAATCAGATTGTGCTACCACAGATGCAGCTGTTGTTTCTAATTAAAGGGGTTTTGGCCAAGTGTCATCTTTTTCTTCTTGTTTGTTTTTAAAAGGAGAGAAACATCCCACAGCTTTCAGCACTTACAGCTTGCTACTGACTTCAGTCTGCCTGCATTATTCTATCATTGAAAATGGGAGATAGTGATGGGCAGCAGTGAAAGGTGAGCACCTGAAGTGCAGCTCAAACTGGCAAAGCAGTTTTGGGTGGAAGAACCACTCAGGACAATGAATGTGTTCACCTCCACTCTGAAGGTAATTCATGTAAAGGTAGGAGGTTATTTGTGCTGAGAGCTATGGAAGGCACCCAGCAAGATTTAAGAGCACTAGAGGCCCTCCCCAGCCTAATGATGAATTCTGTAAAAGCTCTCATCCCAGCAGGTTCTGTTTGTTCCTCCACCAGAAGACCTTGTAACAAATAATCTAAAAGTTTGTAACAGTTACTTGCATTTATTGTAAGTAACAACTTAATTACTGTATTAAATTTTCAACAACATGAAATATTATTCTAACTATAATCAAATACATAATACTATGCAAATATATAAGCAATAATAAAAATAAAATAATATTTATAGTAGTAGTAATGAGGATGGACTAATTGCAAGAACTATCTGGACATGATTTTCATTCTGGTTCCTGTTTCCTTTTATTCCCCAGGATGTACTTACCCAGATCCGATGATGTGTTACTGGAAAATGTGTAATTAATCACAGGAGACTTTTCTAGTATTTCCAAAAAATCAGTCAGATTTTTCTCTGCAAATAGAAATGCTTACAAATATCAAGAAAGGCTTTGTTCCAGTATAAATCCTCACTGAGGAATATCAGGGCAATATTTTTGGGTAGAATGATTTTGACTTTTACCTGTCTGCCCTGCCATCACACAGATGTAGATACAATCAGAGTCATTGCTCTGTCGCACTGAAAGGCAAAAAAATATAGCAGAGTTCATGGTTGCCAGTTTTCCTTACATGGAATTATCTTAAAGAGTTGAAAGCACAAACAAAAAATGGCATGTGGCTATGGCAGCTGACCAAGTATGTTCCTTCTGATCTATTTTTTGAGAAAAATTTCAAACCACCATCACATCCAAATGTTAGTATCTTCACACAAAGAGTTTCTATCTAATTACAATTCTAAATTACAAATATTTTTATATAGGAAAAGAAATCTTCAGATTAAATAGCCCATACTTGTTCTCTGTGAATCAGAATTGCTCAAAATATCAGTATGTAATAATAATTCTCAAACCTACCATTTTTTAGTAATTAATTATAAAACATTCAAGCAACATAACTGCTCATAGAAACATGTACATGTCATATATGTGTCTTGTTCCATATGTTGCAACAAAAATGCTGTTGAGTAAGAGCAAAAGGCTTTTATCCACATTTTTATGGTTGTTTTCATGTCAGGAGTAAATGAGGCAGATAAGACAATGATAAATGTTCAAAGGAAATGCAAACCTGAGAGAATAGAAGTGGACTTGAAAATTTCTGTGAGATAACTGGTGGAGTTTCCAATGATATCAACAAGTAGAGCTGTAAAATCTAGACAACAAATAGAGAAAGTTTATTATTGAAAACACATATCCTAATATTTATGCCAAGTGAAAAATTCACTTTTATATGTGATGATATTTTAGATATATGCTCCTACATGACAAAGTTTAAAGTATTTTAGAGGTTAAAATATTTTGCTGGAGTGGACTGAAGAAACCAAGAGAATCCTTTCAGAAGTATATTTCAAAGATAAGTCCAAAACGACATCAGTGTGTCTAAAATAAAACTTCAATGGAATTTATCTGTTCAAGAGAACATTTTAAAGTAATGCTCTACTTAGTCTGCTTAAATGTAGAAGGAGATCTAAAGCCTGCAGGCTTTGCCTGCTGTAATTGCCTGTCTGCTGTGTAAGACTTTCCAAAAGGCATTGGATTTTTTTTCCACTGGGGTCTGCTTCAGACCTACTGATGATTCAGATGTCAGCCCAAGAAATGGCTGGTGGTGTTGTGGTGCTTTCTAGCAGTAACAGGTCACTGTTCTCACTTAGGGAGTGATGGACCTGAGCCCCACATTTTTACTGCTTTGGAGAATGCTCTAATCCCCAAGATTCTGCTGCAATTCTGAAATTGCAGCAGAAAGATTAAAGTTGCTCTGTTATTCTCCAAGGCAGACCGGGTAATTATCCATAAAGGCTTGTGAGATGTGTGGGTCCAGAGAAAGCCATGAAAGCCACTGTAGCTCATGCAGGGTCACCACGTGTGGCACAGAGGGTTTGGAGTCTGGTCTGCAGCTGCTGATCTACTCTTGATGCCCTTGACATTAACCAGTCATAGAATCCAAACATTCATGCATCCTGAAATGGTAAATTCTGTGAAATCAGGGGTGTGAATGAGGATTTCAGGTGGAAGGTTTGCCTGACAGTGTTTTGTAGTCCATTCAACAGTTCTATGAAGATGTTAGTCCTTGCTTTTCACTTCTCTTGGGCTCACTGAATTTGCTGGAGTCTGTGGGTGAAGAGAAGCCCTTGTTCATCTCCCATGGGTTATCTCAGGAGAGAAATAGTGGCCAAGGTGGTGTATCACATATTGCTGGTTGTCTCTCCTGTGCTGAAATTCGTATGCCAAGGAGGAAAGGGAGGCCTTTTGCCAGTCAAACCACGCCAGTGCCTGACTGATGGCTCCATCCCAGACTGGCTGGCTGGGGGCTGCAGCTGAGACTGAGGTCGTGGAGTTAGAGCAGCCACTCGTCGTGAGTTACAGCTGTTGACCTCAGTGTGGTGGTGGTAATCATAAGGATGAGGTCTGCAGAATTCAGACTACAGCCTTCAGCTCCAAAGGAAATAATTCAGCTTAAGCACATGCAATTGCCAGCATTTTTGTGTACCCACCTGTCAAGTCATTTGTCACATTATTCAAACAGTAGCAGTAGTGCATAGGGAACTTGCCAGGGTCAATATTTTTTGTGTTAGAGACTGTAGGGAGAGACAGAGAAAAAAAAAAAATCAGTGTCTTGTTGCACAGGCTGTGGGAGAGAAACTGTTCCTGAGCCAAGCAAGTGCCAACACTCACGGTTATAAATGGTGACTGACACTTTGTGGAAGGCAAACGAGCTGTAAGAGGTGACACTCAGCAAAGAGAAGAATTTCTTGGTACCTGCAGAAACACAGGCCCAGGCTATTAGTGCTTGGAACAAACTGTGAGAACAGCGTGTTTTGTCTCTGCTCATTTAGTGCCTAAAGGATTCCCGAGGTGCCTGTAGGATACACCTGCCTCACACTCAGTCTGTTCTCATTTCCACTGAAGGAAAGATCATTTGTATCGCTTCTTCCTTTTTATTTTGTTTTTCTTTTAATTGAAATGTACACTGGATTAGAAAGTGCCTTTGAAAGGTGTCCCACAAGTAATTATATTGTGTCTATATATAAACCCACACTAATTTCCAAGTTCTCTGGGGTAGACAGCCATCTGCATTACAAATGCATGAAGGTAACATGCTCCTAGAAACAATTCTGGAGGCCAACAGCACATGTTTACAGCTTCTCCTGCTAACACTTGTTACCTTTTCTTTAACCCTTTTCTCCTTCACTGCTGGGCTGGCAGCTGTGACCTGCCCAGCCGTATCCCATTACCTCTGAGTGCAGTGCTCAGCATCCCATTCACCAGCTCTGTCAGGTTAATAGCAGCCAGGTCCAGGGACTTTGCAGGCAGCTCTGAAAGAAAAGGGGTGCATGAAGGTACAAGGAAACAACTGTGCATCCACTGCTTATTGTGCTGTAAATCTGCCAGAATGGGAAAAACCAAAATGAGGAGATTATGTTCTGGGGTGCACCAAAAAAGCACTGATGGGAAAATAAAATTCCAGGACCATGGAGATGAGTCTAGAAAATAGCAAGATATAGCAACAGTAGAATGGTGGGCCAAAATTCATGTCTTCCAGCTGTGCCCTTGACCATGCCCTTGAGCAGCTGCAGGACCCAGCCAGCCCTGGAGTGCTGGTGCCCTCTCCTGCTGGGTGATGGGTGTTTGCTGCCAACAGAGCAGCAGATCTCACCACGCACATCACAAAAGGCAGAGAAAGTGCCTAAAAAATGTTCCCCCTTCCCCAAACCTGCATGAAAATACAGATTTTTGTTTTTCAGCTACGTCGATGGCTATACTGCTCGCTACAAGAGAATAATTTTGCTGCAGTTAAATCACACTTTTTATCTTAACGTTTTATTTCTGTTGATGTTGCTTATTTGTTTTTCCCAAGTCAAAATTCTGAAAGATATTTTTTGCTCCCCTCCCACAAAGTCATGCTGAAGCAGAGCAGCACAGTGTCTGTGTGAGGGAGGAAGGTGTGTGTGAGCATGACAGAGAGAGGAAGAACAGAGCAGGACAGAAAAAGAAGCACAAAAAGCTGAGATGAGAACAAAATTGAATTTGAGGAGAAATGCAATTTTCCAATGACATCAGTATTATTTATAACCAATTTGAAGCCAAGCTGCACCCCAGGGCTGAAAGCAGTGCTTATCCACAGCATAGAAGAAAGAAAACAAAAGGGAATCAAGAGCTGGGAAGGAGAGAAAGGAAAACGAGAAGAGTAGATTTTGGGAAGGACAGTTGTTAACCTGGCCAGGGACTGGATTGGGTGGGATGATCTTATAGCAGGGGTGGTTTGGGGCTGACAGACTCTGAAGGAGCAGGACCCATCTGCTGCCACCCCCATGCCCAGCACAGCACCTCCCACTGCCATTGGCACCCGACTCTGGGGCTCCTCTTACCTGCAGTAGCCAGCACTGCCACTTGCTTCTCTTTCTTACTTTCCTTTCTTATGCACGAAGCTGAAAAGTGAAGAAAGAGACTGGGAAACAGTTTTCCCTGTTGAGTTTGCACCTCAACAATCAAAATAAAAATATAATACTAATTATTTGCAGAGATCTTCACTAGGCTTGCACACAGAATTTGCTGCGAGGTACAGAGTAAAATAAGGCCAAATCCAAACAATTCTTCCCTTCTCTGTGCATGTTTGCTATTCAGAGCAGTCATGCAATTGACTCCTCAAGAGCTGTGTTGCAGGAGGAATTGGCTGAAACTGGGTTCAGGAGATTGGACTGGGTTTCTGGGATTTGCTCAGTGTCCAGCTGAGGTGCACAGCAGAAAATAAGAGATTGCAGGACAATTTGAAGATATGTGTTTGAGATTTAGGTTTCCTACCCCACCAGAGGAGAGCTGGGTGCCTCCTAAGAGTAATCCAAAATACTCTCCAAGGGAGTCAGTGCCAGAAAATGCCAATCTGCCATGTTCCTATGAAGCTTCAGCTTCTCAGCCCATCCGAGTTCCCCTTTATATGTGTTTATAAAGGAGAAATGCCCCATAGACAGTGTATAATCCAGGGCTTATAAATTATGATGCAGTTTTAATCAGCTGTATTAACAACCCTCAATCAGTAAACTTGGATTGACAATCCAGGTGGTAGGAGCTCTTCTAACCCTTCTCTCTCTTTCCTTATAAACTTTTCTGATTCCAGATTCTTGGCATGGGATCCAGGAATAGGCATCACCTGGTCAGCTCTGCTGAATGTCACCAGCCCCGGAGCTCCAGCCTTGCCTGCACAGGTGAAAGAACCAAGCCTGCCACAGGTGTGGGAATGGGGCTATGGGAGCAGCTGGGAAAGAGGCACCTGGGTTATTCCCTGGGGAGCTCCAGACCATTGTCCTTACCTGTGCTGAAAACCAGAAAGAGACATAGAAATCCCAGGCTCATCTTCACTGCCACATGCCAGCAGAACCCCTGCATTATGGATGCAGACTTCCAGCAGGCTTGGCTGGTCTAGGAGAGAGAAATGCTCCTTTGGTGGTGGTAAAATTTTTAGCATTGAGAGATTTTGTCCAGCCCTTGTCCCAGACTGATCTGACCACAGGAGAAATATCAGATTTCTGTGATGCAGAGAAAGATTGGTGTTGGAAATGACAAAGGAGCAGAGATCTTATAATCAGTATTTCCTCTGTGCCTCTCGAGTTTTGAGTCCTACCTACTTGGATTTTCCAGGGTCTTGGTAAGGTTCTCAACACAACCCTCTTCTCCTACAGGATGAGTTGTGCCTAGAAGGCACCTGACACATCAAGTGCCTAAAACCTTTCTGTTGAAACAAGATAAAATTTGCTTATGTAAACCAGAAATGTTAACTGAGGTTCTCTTCCACAGAAATGTTGCTTTTCTGATCATTCCTGATCTTGTATTTCTGTAGCTACTGTCACCAGGTTGTGTCCTGCCTTTCCTACCTGCTTGGTAAGAATGGACAGTGCTCTGCCTTTCAGACCATGAGCTGCTTTCCAGGTTTTAAAAATTTAATAAGGCATGGTTAGGAAGGAGGAAAAAAAAAAAAAGGTTTATTTTCACGTTTCCCATTTTTGCAATATCAGAACATGTCAAATAACTCTGCAGTTGTCAGAAAATGAGGGATGATATGAAAATCGGCAAAAAAAAAAAAAAGTCCAAAATTTTTAATATCCTCCTGGAGCAGCTAATCTCACAAGTATGCAGCAAATCATTACCTTGAAGATAATACTGTTTGGTTAGAAAACTACTATCATCATATTTAAAATATTTATCATATTGAAGTCACTAGAGAATTAATACATTCAAGAAATGTCTTATTTGTATTTAGTGACTCTAAAGAGATTCTTCCCTGGGATGGTGAAACAATACTAAATATTTCTGTGTTGGAAATGTCTGTGTTTCCCGGCCTGATGAGTGAAAAGTGTGCAAGTGCCAGCTCTGCTAATTCCAGCAAAGCTCTGAGAGCTTTCAAGCACTTCATCCCACCTATTCAGTCCATCTGCCCAATCCTTTTTACTCAGTCCTAAGCCTGGACTCATCCACAGTTTCTGCACAGCATGTGCAGAAGAGAAGAACTGAGGCAGAAAGTGTTGGCCAAATCTCATTCCCAGACTTCATACTCCATCACCTTTCTGTGGAATAATTATGCATGGACAGAGTCCAGTATCCCATGGAGAAGTCTAGCACCAAAAATCCTAAACCTGGCTTTTCTTGCAACAATATTTGGGATCTGGCAAACTGCTAGACTACAGACCACCAATATGTTCTGTCATGAAAATCAGGGGACCTGACTCCCTGGCAAGGCTATCCTGTCTTCCACTCTTGGTGTTATGAAGCTCCTGAGACTTGCAACAGCTTTTTTTTATGGCTCTGTGGACTCTGTAATTAGGGGAGACCAGTGTGATAGCTCAAGTCTGCTCACAGGCTGATGTGATGGAAGCAGTGGAGGTGTAGTCTGCATGGAGATAAGTATAAAACCAATCCACATCTCTAGATTCTGATCATTTTTTGTCATCTTTGGTTTGGTTCAATGAAATAGAAGTAGTTAGTGTGAGATATTCCTCAGTGGAGCTGCGTATGACGAACTGATGCTTTGCAGAGCTGAAGGGAGGTGGCTGTTGGGGAAAGCAAGTTTTGGGAGGTGGAGAGTTGGGTGATCATGTAAAGGGAGGTTTGGAGCTACATGTGATTTGGAGCAGGGGTCTGTGGTGACTGGTGCATCTAGATCATCAAGTCTCCTATTAAAGGAGAACTATTGGGTTGTGTCTTTGAGGTGAGAAGTGGGGTGATTTTCTGCTTTTTTAGTAGAACTTTATGAATTTTGATTGTACTATGAGAAGTGTCACCTTAACTGCAAAATCTTCATTTTGATGAGTTGTGCTTTGATGGTTCAGGGTTTATGTCACGTTCCCCATGACCTGTTCCATGCACTCAGGAGTGACCAGGCTGCACAGCCAGTCCTGATGTCCCCCACCCAAGGGACATCAGCAGGAAACACAGACAGCAGAAGAGCTGCCACTGAGCTGTGCCTGAGGTGCAGGGCTGGTCAGCTGGAGGGTCTCTGCAGCCCTGACTGGTGAAAGACCCCAAACCTCTGCCCTTCACAAGGATTTTGGCTGCACAGTGGGTGAAAGACCCAGACCTAAGAGGTGGGAGAGGAGGACATGCCCTGCCCCATGTTCAATCTGTCCCTACAGATCAATAGCCAGTGCTCATCCACTGTGAGGAAACTTGATTTCCAGGACCTGCTGTGAGGAATGTGGGCTCTCCTGGGTCACCAGTGAATCACACTAACACTGGAACCCTTGGTGAGAGCGTTTCACAGACTGATGCGAAAGCACAACTGTTTTACAAAGGTTCCTATGTAAAAGGGTAGATAGCAGATAATTTCCTATCAGAGATCTAACTTAGTAGTGATTTATTTAAACTGGCCAGTGTTATTCATGGCAGCAGGACAGGGGAAAATCACTTGACAGAGGACTTGGTGTAGCAAGAAAGAGCAGAGTCTAGAGAGATCACATTCCTAAAAGACAGAGAAGAGGCAAGAGGACTGACACACGAAGGGATCATTATTTTAGGAAAGAGAGAAAAGCTGTAAAAGTACAAACAAAGTAGAGCAAGATAAATTGGAAGCATTCCCCACACACTGGGTGGGTGAAGCTTTCTGGCTCACCTGAATTGTCAGTTCTCTGCTGTCCTCCCCACTGAGCTGCTCCTCTGTGCTAATCAACACACAATTTTCTCCACACACAGTGCTGATTTCCAGCAGGAATTCAGAGAAGACATTAACCTGGCCATATCACACTACAGACTCAAACAAGCAAAACATCTAATGATTAGAACAACAGGCAAAGAAAGTCTGGAAGGGTGGATCACAGTGAGACAAATCCTATTCTACTTCTAGCAAAGAAATATTGAGTATTGTGGTATAAAATGATGGAAAATCCTCCATTCATGAGAGTGCTTGTTTTGCCTGAATGCCAGATTTAGCACTGGTGTGTCCCCTTACCAGCGCAAAATGCTAAAAAAGAAATTGCAGATAATTCTTAATACTAGGGATATCACTCCAAAATGGACTACCCTTGCTCCTTATTTGATAGAGATTTTGATTTAAATTTGAAGCATTAGCTTTTAGCTGCTTCCCAAAATCTTCTTCCAGCATTAACTCTCTGAAATTTATTCTATCTAACTAAATTTCAAAACCACGTGTGACAACTATTCCTAGAACTGTTCCCTGAAATATCTTATCTCTCAGCAATGTGAATATTAGTGATGTTAACTCTTGCAATACACGTCACATTTGCGTACTCTGGTTATTTAATATCCAGTTTTTATTTATCAGGGACAAGTCTTTATTACTTTGCAACTGCATCTCTCTTGAAGAGACTCCACTGTGATGACTGAAATACATGTCCAGATTGCAAATATGAAACCCTCTTTGTCCTGCAGATCAAAATCACCATTTCCATTCCAGGCTATGCTGAGATTCGCAGGCACTGAAGGCTCAGGTGCCTCACAGCCCCGAGCAGGCAGACAAATCCCATAAACTGACTCAGAGAAGGTTTTTCTTCCAAACATTCATCTGATAAAGGCTGAGGGTCAAGCTTTTGGTTACAAATTCTCCTTCACCTCTGCTGGATATAACAATCCTCCTCTGTTCATTTTAAGTTGAATAAGGTTAGTAGAATCTATTTTATAAATAACTGTTGATCTAGAGTTCCCTGAACTGCTGAATTGGAGATTTTAATCCAGTTCAAATTACTTTCATACACGCATGAAAACCTCTTATTAAATCCTTCTCTATTACTCTGGGTTAACAGCAATCTTAAACCAATGTGTTTATTAGCTATATTTCAGTAGAACTCCTTTTAATGTGACAGGTAACCATGAAGTTTGAATTGTTTTCATTTTTCTTGTACAAACGTAGTGCACTCCAATATCAAGCAGTTTCCTGACGTCTTCACGCTTAACAGAGCGGAATAGAAATTAAGAGAACAAAGAAATAAAAGAGGAAAGTCCTTGAGTAAGAATTTCCTTACCTTCATTCAGTTGCAACATCCAAAGGTCATGTCTCATTTTAAGCACACCATCATCCACCAAGTCTAAAGAAACATTTCAAGTTAATTTTGAAAATATGCCCATGTTATAACTGCATGCTTCATTGCATGCAATTACTTTTTAAGTTCAGATTTATTTATGTGAGAATGCAATAAAATGCAATAAATATAAATTGAATAAAAAAGAATTTCATTTGCTACATTTCCACTGAGCACTAATAGCACAGCTGAAATGGTTTCCTCCAAGTACAAGCAAAACCACCAAGATCTGGAATAGTTAATATCAACTTACCTGATTTTTCATGACAAAAAGTATTATCTTCAGAGCTTATATAAAACTGGAAGTTATTGCCAGGTCTTAATAAACACTTTGTGAAAAACTTTGAGTAGACAGGCTTGATAATCTTTCCTTAAAATCCTGTGAAAATTGTTATCCTAATCCCTGAAGGACTGACTAGAGGTAACACAATCGTAAGCACACAAAGTGCCTGTTGAGTCCCGCATGGAAAGGCTCTGGGGCAGGTCAGGTGGAGACTGGAAGCTCCTTTTGGCAGTAGAAATGAATTGTGGAGGATTTTTTTTCCCTTTTAAAGGAACAGCTCTGCTCACTGCAATTAGACCGATGCCACCTCTGATGGTGAGAAGTAGGCAAGGGTGAGCCCCTCTGGTACAGCTTTAGCCATCCTTCAGTTCAAACAAGGGACGTTGTCAAGAGGGCAGAGATCACACCTGAAGTGTGTCTTAAGTGTGGAACCTCAAAAGGAGTAAAATGTCAATTAAAACAGGAAAAAATGCCTGGAGTCGTGGTTAAGTGGTGAGGAAGGAAGAGAGGTCTGGTCAGAGCAATGGCATAAGGCAATTTCAGTG